CTAGAACTGTAGATACTAAATCAACATGTAAGATTTTTAAGAAGTTGTGAACTATGTGTTAATCACATGATTTAAAAGGGCATGCCCATGGGCATGAGGGGCATGCCTTAGCTCAGGGGCATGCCCAATTTTTTTTCCATGCGCTGAACCCTACCAAGAGTGCGTAAAATTTATTACTTCCCATATGAATATTAGTTATCACGAAGGTTCAAACCAAAAGTAAATTCCACTGCTTTATAATTAGTCCTTTCCAGAACTAGTAATAAAAACATTTATTATAGAGGGCGTAAGGCTCAAAAGTAAAATTCATTGCTTCCTATATGAACATTAGGTCGCCGCGAGAGACAAAGCCAAAAGTTAGTCAAATTTATTGCTTCCATATGAACTTTAGTTCTCTACGCGAACTAATACGGGTCGTCACCAAGAATGAACATTAATAATTGTCGCGGATCAAAATGAAATGAGGGATTTCTATTTGACCCATAAAACCCACATATACTTGTTTATTATCCCTAAACACTAATCCTAACCCTAACCCTAAAAAAATGCTAAAAAAAATGCACCTTAAAAATTTGTATTTTTCGGTGGCTTATCTGTCACAATAATTACTACGATCCCGTGCATTGCAGATTTGGATTTAAATCGAATCCGGATTTAAATCCGAAGGCTAAATCAGATTCCAAACTCTAGATGTGACTATAGCGGGAGTTGACTGTACTATCAAAAATCACACTTGTCAATGTTTTATTATTTAGCCGACTAAGTCAACTACTAACACTATCGATTAAAAAGCAAAACACATTGACAGTAAATCAGTAAAATAAATATATTTTGGCTAGTAAATGTAAGCGAATTTAAGAGACTGTGATATAAAGGAGTTAGGTAGAAGTTAAGGATTCTGATAGACCAACTTATTTAATAAAAATTCCAAATATTTCTAGACACTCATCGGCTCTAATTAATAGTAATTATTCATCTCGAGGCACAGGCATCCCACAAGGCTGTAACATTTTCTAAAAAAAAAAAATCGTAAATGTAAACATCGTATACAGGTCCAGAAAGAAATGACTTTTGCAGAATTTCGATTTACTTCTATAAACTCAAATTTGACTCTAGCAATGCATTCATTCTGTGCTACGGAAAAATATGAGATCAAAGCATGGTGGCCAATGTACGATGCATAACTATCTCTGTGTTGATTTACCAACCACTCGCTATAATAGATTGTCGAGAGTAAATATAATGATACTCTTAACGAAATGAAACACGTATAAAATTTATGACTCACAATTTATTTGTATCCGCGTGGCCTGTTCCAACATACTTTGATTGTACTGAGAGAATAAATGTCAATATGTATTTCTTAAACAATTAATAAACAAATTTACACTCACGATGTTCAAGTTGACTGTTGAGATTAAAACGATCCTAGAAAATTAACAATATTACTTTATTAGTTATATCCAAAAAATTGTACATAATGCTAACTATACAAACTCTACCATTATTTGTCCTCAGTAAAGAAAGTTCGGAATAAGATGTTCTTACTGGAATTTTTATATTTAAAAGGAAAAGGACATCGGATCAGTTGGCCTGCATTGCATTAATGCTGGCCAGACGACCCAATTTTCGGCCCGGCAACACCTCTAGTGTAACATCGAACATAATTTTATCATATAAATACGTTCGGTAACTTCTCTACTTCTGTCCGAAGTTTTAAGTTTTCATAATGTCTGATCATTCTGAATTAGTTGAACGTTTTACCGCGATTGTCTCCTGTGATGAGCAACAAGCTCGTTTCTATTTAGAAGCGAATAACTGGAATTTGAGCGTAATTAGAGGCCTTTTCTAGATCGTTTTAGTGCAAAATGTGTGAAATTAGCTATCAGGATTTTTTTTAAAGGTATTCCGTTATTGTTAGGCTGCGGTGGGTAATTATTATGAAGAACCACATGAAGGAAATGACGTAGAAGGAAATGCTGAGGGCTCGTCGCAAGTTCCTGCACCTCATGGCACAGCTTCTGGCTCAACGCAAAAAAAAAAGTATGTCCGCACAATATTTCACAGCCTTCCTTTATAAATTTTCTTAAATAAAGTGTTCCTAATGATCCCTAATGATCCAAAATATTCTTCTCCTAGCTCTCATTATGCTACTTTACGTGATTATGATAAAGAACAATCAGATGAAGAAGAAGAGGAAGAAGTGCGCGAAAATTTATTTGCCGGTGGCGAAAAATCGTGAGCTAGAAAAGCTAATTTCAAACATCATTGCTCATGGAATAAGATCTTATATTCAATGATTGGTTTTTACTATTGTACAGTGGAATTTTTATGCAAAAACCCGGCTCAAAGCAGCCAAAATCATTAGTTCATGACATTCTCAAAAAGGCGACCGAGTAAGAGAAGATTTTATCTAAATATAATGTTATTATATAATGGGATAATACTTGAATTTTATGATCTATGTTTGATATAAGAGGTGGACGTGGATATGAAGAACCAGAAACTACACCATCTCCACGCACTTTCACTGGCACTGGTAAGATTCTTTTTTCTTACATGTTATTTGTGCATAAACTTGAAATATTTTTGCGATCGCAGGTTACAGACTTGGAAGTGATGAAGAACCTTCGGTTGAAGTGAATTCACAACCTTCCACCACTGAACCACCCAGAACGGTGAGCACGTTTACTAAATAATGTTCTTAAAAAATTCTTCGTTTTAACGATAGAACACTATAGGTTGTCCGTCATTTGACATTTTGGAGAGACGGATTTAGTGTCGAGGATGGTCCTCTAATGGCATATGACGATCCGGCAAACGAAGAATTCCTTAAAGCTATTAATAATGGGTACTTAAGTTCGTCATTCTACTGATTAATTGAAGATATTAATCTTGGATTATTATTTGTGCAGACGTGCACCTTTGGCCTGGCTAAATGTAAGATATGATCAGCCAGTGGATATTCGTGTGGAACGCAGGTTGGATGAAGACTATCAACCACCACCTAAAAAACCAGCCACACCATTTTCAGGCTCCGGGCAAAGGCTTGGCAGGTCGGTTAATCAATTAAAGCGGCATTAGATGCATTGATTTTGTTGTTCTTTTATTGATTTCGTTTTATTTTTTCTTAGTCCAACTCCCGCAGTTGTAACTAGTAGTACACCTGGTGCATTTCCTTCAAGTTCTTCATCAACAAGAGTGGCTGAATTAATTATTGATGAAACACTGCCAATAACATCCATTCAAATTCGTTTAGGTGATGGAACGAGGTGAAGAAATATTGCATTCAAAAATTAAAGTTTTTACTTTACTGTTATTGAAATTTTTTTTTTAATTTATGTCATACAGGATGCTTGCTAGGTTCAATCATACTCATACCGTTTCCGATGTCCGAAATTTCATTAACGCGTATGTCATATATCGTTATAATATTGACAATTTAAATGGTCATTTTGTATTGATTGTACTTTTATATGAATTTATTTAGTTCGAGGGTTGGAGAAGCAACACGCAACTACGTTCTACAAACAACATTTCCATCCAAGGACCTTAAAGACGAAACACAGACTTTATCAGAAGCATCTCTTCTTAATGCAGTAGTTGTGCAACGATATATTTAATGAATCCGGCTATCTAATCAGATATCCGGATAGACATCCTATTTTATACTTTATCCGGATTTACAAAAATAGATGCTTGCTCAGCTATCTTATTCTGGTCCGGGTTATGTCTGGTTTATATTATACATCTGATTTGTTATTGTGAAATTTGATTAATAAAACGAACATACATAATTGAACATTATACATTCAGATTGCCTTTCTTATTATTGTGATGAACTTTCCACTTTATTCCTGAGCAGTAACGACCTTAAATTAGCATGTGACTTCTCATGTGTCGTCTTTTTTATCGCGTGACCATTTCTGTTATCAACCAAATTTGTGTTTAAACTAAATTCGTAACCGCCTTTTTCAATTAAATCAGTAGATAGACGAATGCCTAGGAATGAATTTTTTTTTTTTTTTTTTTTGTTAGCAATGAAAACTTTTACTTTTAAATTTTGTTATGCTATGATCTGTAAATTTATTGCCCGATAAAAACATAACTTTCCATATTTCCTATGCACACCAATTTTGTTAATGACAAGCTGGATCATTAGATCTCTTAATATCTGGACAGAATATCGACCATTTCTATTAAGTAATCCATTTCCAAGTTTGTAATATTTGTGACATCTATACGTATATCGTTTGTCTTGTGTGTACTTGTGATACGTATAGTACTTAATTAGTGATTTGCAATAGAGCTTGATAAAACGTACAGTAATATGTAGTAAATTTTTACTACGTACGTATAATTCTTAAAATTGATTGTTATCTAAAATTAGGCTAAGTATACAAAATTAAGTAATTGGTTATCATAACCCGGCAGGGTCAAATTTTAAAAGCTTGTAAAAAAAATTTTTTTTTTGTTTGTTTAATAACCGAGTGGGTTTTAAAAAAATTTTTACAAAATTTTAGATGAAAAATTAAAAAAAAAACCGGCCGGGTCTGTTCAAAAGTTTCATTTTATGAAAACTAAGATATTAAATTTGTGTGGTCTTAATTCTGGTTTTTTTTTATTTACTAAATAAACGTTTCTGGGACTGCTCTGCTCTGATTATATTGATAGTATAATCGTTAAAATCGTCCCAACTAATTAGATATCATTGTAAGCGTCCACATCTAATGATCTATAACGACATCCACGACTTCTGTTAAAAGTTTACTTGGTAAACATTGTGGGAAAAGCCTAATTCCCGATATTCAAAAAAACAAAAAAAAATTTTTTTTTATAAATTTAACGCCACTTCTGTGATATTTTATGTCCTAACTTCTATTACGGCTCACAAATTATTTACCATTCCTCTTTCCAAAGTCTCAAAAAACTACCTGAAAGAAATCAAGCAGATTGACATTTTAAAAAAAATCAATACCTTAATTTTAGCTACTCAACTCTCGATGAATTTCAAAGCTATTCTCATGATTGAATAGTCAAAAGAAAGCTTAGACCTTAAGTTTTCGTTTGACTATTCATTTATAAGAATAACTTCGAAATTAATAGAGATATTAGCAGTGAAATTAAGGCATTAATTTTTTTAAAAAGTCAATCTGCTTGATTTCTATTGACAGCAGCCCATTTGTTCTAGCCTAAATATGTAAATTAGTGTGTCAAAAAACCATAATATTCCCAAGACCTATCAAAGCTTTCGAACCGGGCTGCGACCGTGCTAAATTTTTCATATAACGGCATAATAGTAAAGCTGTTACTATGTAAACACTTTAGTAAAAGCATAGTTAATGTGTTAATCAAACAATATCACTAGTAACCTGGATAAAAAAAAATTTTCGATTCGTGTAGCTCATATTCTCTGTTTCAAGAACTATCACGGATTAGCCTAAAAAGATCTTATACATGCCAAGAAAATTCGGTTAACATAACTCCCAACTCACCAGGTTTTAATAATTTATTTTAACGCCTGGCTCCTATCTTGATATATCAAAAATGAAGTTTGTCGCAGAGACTGAACAAATAGATCACTCTTTTAAATGCATATCAACATATACAGTATATAATAATCCTGCGCAAGTAATCGAAGAGTGTCGCTTGCCGTTTCAAAAACTTCATGACGACGAGTTAATTTTGTTATTTGTTTAGAAAAAGAACATTTTATTTATTTTTTATTCAGTAAATCTTTTCTAGATTTAGAATTTGAAAAATTAATATATTATGAGTTACATCCAATCAAATCCATTAAAACCCGAATAGAAAAACAATTAAGCGGCCTGGTGATACTGTGATAGTATCATTGTTATCAACGTCATGGCTATTATAAGTTAGTGACAATACACATAATAAAACCTATCTCAGCCCACTTAAGTCAACTCTGACGCATTTTAAGCGAACACATCAGAACGTTAAAAAACCAAAAAACCTACCGCACAACTAGTTTTTAAATTCTTCACTATTACAATGGCTGCGAGCAATACCATGAACTTTGGTCCAGAGTGGTAAGCTTTGTGACCCGTAAAATTTATGACTGTACAGGCTTTCCTTTTTAGGCTGGAACGCCAGTAATTTAGATTTGAAAAAGAGAGTCTCTGGGGTGTCAAAAATTCTGATTTTATCTTTTGCTAACGTCACAAACAAAACTCTCGATTTCAAGGATGAGACGTTTTCCAAAAACTCCATCGAACGATAACAATCGTTCTACTTCTCCAACTTTGCTTTCATCTAACGTGGCTGCCAATGCGACTACCACTGCGTCAAATCATTCCGGCAGCGCAAATAGCAACTCAAATAATACACCAAATGCTACTTTTAGTGTCAGCAACAACGTCTCGGGCACAAGTACATTTTCTTGGTCTTCTGTGGCGGCTGCAAACAGTAATAACGCTACATTAAACCGTTCTCTTCAGCATGAAACATCCGAGAAATCTGATGTACCTGGTTCTAATGATTCCGCCTTGAATCCTTTCAAATATTCCAAGGAATTCATGATTAAACTATATAAGCCAGTAGGGTTGCCTTTGGAATTTGAGCGGCACGAATATATTACAAGCGAAGAGCCGTTACAACCAATGGCATTGATAGTACCAACAGAACAGGAACAAAAGGTATCTAGCTGATATCGTTATATCTATGCATTGGAAATAATTTAAAAAATGTTTTAGTTGTTGTTTTGAAAAACTACAAACATTCAATATACATACATCCATTTATGTATGAGTCTTTGGTTGGAAATTGAATATCAACCGAATTTTCTAAATAAATCAGTCCCAAAAATTTTTTGGCTGATCTCTGCTATTATTATTATTAGCAAATTTTTATATTGATGTATAAAGTTCTAATTTTTTTCTAGATGATGAAAAAGAAATTTTAATAAACTATTATATTAATGTTTTATTATTCATTTCCTTTTGTGCCTTGATAAATCAGCTTTTATCGGGTGCTTCTGTTAATAGTGATCTCACCCGTCGTATCGCCTCCAGTAACCCAGGGGGTGTTATTACAGGGAGTGAGCGTGTAGAAAGAGATAGAGTACCATATTCTCCACGAAATGATAAACATATCAATACGGGGCTTACTTCGCCCAGAGGAGAAAGATTCGGTGGAATTATTGGGGGTGTACTCAATAGTGGGCGAACGAGCCCACGAAGTAGTCGCCCACCTCGAACACCCGGATCTTTAAATCCTTCTACAGACGATCCAATTTGGAATGGTGTAGTAACTAGAAATGCAGTAGGGACTTTTGATAGCAATGGAGTGTTTCGAATTCAAGGAAGTAATGTAGACGAAGAATCTCCTGATAAATTAAAGAAAGATGATCCCGAACCTAATAAAAAAATCGATCAAGAGGTTGGTTACAAAATATTTACAAAATTTGGTTTAAAAATTAATTACTTATTCCATATATAGCTTGAAAAGAAAAATCAAACCGATCGTTCGGATACAAGCGATTATACAAAATCCCTTCAAAGCGATAATATAACCTCCGGAAAGGAATGCTCGGAGTCAAACAATAAATCTTTAAATAATGATGAGGATGCAACAAAGACGAATTTATCGCTAGAAGGATTAAATTCATCATTACAAGAGAAACCACCATTTCAACCTGTTAATCAACATACGCAAGCAGAACCAAAACAAAATATGGTACAGGGATGGCAAGGGTTGCAAGAACCAAGTCAACTAGGGGATGATATCATAGATCCGCAAGATGAGTTTCACCTACAAGATGAACAAAATGAGAAGTCACAATTACAACTAAGATGGCATGAATCCGAACAAATATCACTGCAACATCAAAATCATCAAAATTCAGTTATTAAACAAGAGAAAGAAAGTGAGAGTGAGTTTGATCAACAATTTATGTTACAACAATTACAATTGCAGGAAAAAGATAAAGAACAAAATCATGAGAAACAACAGTTACAACGGCAGTTGCAATTACAGCAACAGGAACAGGAACAATTAAAATTGCAACAACGACAGGAACAGATTCAGCTTCAGTTGCGATTGCAACATCAGCAACAGCTATTACTTCAACAGCAGCAAATAATGCAGGATCAACAACACCGTCAACAGCACGCGATGCAGCAACAGCATCACCAACAATTACTGCTACAACATCATTTTGACCCTGATCAAGATGATGATGTGCTTAAGGAAGCGTTTTCGTACCCAAATATGGGAGGCAACACACCGCCAATGTCTCCTCCAGGGAAAACAAAGTATTCCACGCACTCTATACTTGGCCCAAACAGTGCTTTTGGTGATACTAATCCTGGGGTAACAAGTCTCTTTCCTGGCACAAGTCTAAATTCAGAATCAAGAAAACAATCAGAACAATCTAAATGGTTGTATAGAGACCCGAGCGGTAATATTCAAGGTATGTCAATTATCACTATAAATATAGGTTGTCAATTGAATACGTCCTTAATGTCATAATTAAACACGAACACTTCAACAAACACTAGGACCATTTAGCAGTCAAGAAATGAATGATTGGTATAAAGGAGGATTTTTCGTACTTAGCCTTTTAGTTAAGAGGGTGGAAGATGCCGCATTTGAGCCATTAGGAGCTTTAATTCGAAAAACCGGTGATGATGAGAGACCTTTTTCTGCACCAATTATAGGCAATAGACCATCTTTAACGATTTCTATGCCAAATAATTCTTCACGGTTAGTAAATGATCCATTTCAACGCGCTTGGGGTGCGCCTAATTCCCCTAGTACCGCTCAATTGTTTCTAGAACATCAACAAAGATTTAATCCCTTTGGAGGAACCACATCTGTACCAACAACACCGTTTGACAGATATCAATTCAATGGGGTGTTTGGTCGCAACGAGGTTTCAAATGGATGGAATGATCTAGGAACAACGAGCTCTACATGGGGGCCATCAGATAGTTATGCATCAAACGGTGGTAATCTTTCACCTCGTTTGCAAGCTCCAAATTCTCCTCCATTATTCAACAGTAATGCAACATTTAATGTATCACCACCTCAAACATATCTTGAACATCAACGAGCGTTTAATCCACAAATTGAGAGACAACAATACTTAATGATGCAACAAAGACAATTACAGCAGAATCAACATGCTTATCCAGATTCGTTTATCCGCCAACAACAGCAAAGTTATGTTGGTCTATCTGGACCAGTTTCAGCACCAATTACAAATGCTCCAAATTCTCCATTCATTGATGTAATAACGAGAAACGCAGGTTGGTCAACCACAACAGAACAACAACCACCTCCAGCTTCGCCATGGGGAATAATAGCTCCCGGTGTTGGCGCTACACCATCCCGGGTTCAACAGTCTGAAGATTCGGGATATTTTGGTATCAGAAAAGAATCCAATTTTGGATTACAACAATCAACTCATGATGAGCGGCCACCCAATCGTACTAATGATCGGTCATACGAGGTTGTCGGTGGACAAGCTCAAGAACCAACCTTTGAGAAAAATTCAATGAACGAGGTTATTGAGTCAATGTCAAAATTAAATCCAGTAGATGAAAAAGTCAATTTAAACAAAATCGATGGAAACTTTAATATAGTGGATAAAATAGAATTGTCACCGAAGTCTAAATTAGAGGAACCTATTCATCAACCAATACAAAAGGAAGAAGCTTTACGTTCAAAACCTTCTCTACGTGAAATTCAGGCAGAAGAAGAACGTAAAAAGCAGCATGAAGAAAAGGAAAAGTCGGTTGTGATTTCAAGCGTCTCCACGAACAATGTCGCTGGTAAAATACCTCAACCATTAAAGTCAGCAAATTCGGCATGGGTGAACAATAGTCCTGTTACACCATCCTCACCCGCTCCATGGGCTAAAGATGATGATCATCCCACTCAAAAAACTCCATCTCTACGTGAAATTCAAGAAATGGAAGCTCGAAAAGCCGTTGAAAGAAAAGCTGCTGCTGTAACTGCAAATTCATATGCATCTACTTCTTATAAGGATGATGTGACAATTTCAACTACTTCATGGGGCATAGTTGTTCCCACATCATCTAACGAATCAGATTCGTCTTCACTCTCTACTTCACCTGTTGTGACCACACCAGCTTGGCAATCAAACAATACTACCCCCAAAAAGACACTAAGAGAAATTCAGAAAGAGGAGGAAGAAGCGATGAAGAAGCGCAACAAGATTCGTGAGATGCAACAGGCGTTGGTTAGCTCTTCCGCATCTAGTGGAACGACTGCCCAAAATAACATGGGAAAACGTTATGCAGATACGGTATCCATTGGAAATGTGAATGTAAATCCGAAGGTTATTATTATATATATATAAATTTCCTTATTTATATTTATATTTATATTTATATATTGATTACTTAAATTGTAATTATTCTACTATTAATCTTCAACTGCGCTCAACAGAAGCCATCGATAAGCTCTACGACTAATGCCTGGACAACTGTTGCAAGTAAAACATCTACTCGCATCACTACTGCTACTCCAGCGAATATAAATTTTAACTCAAGTAGCGTATTATCTGGTGCAACAAAAACAGCTACTAAAGATGCTTCGCTTTTAGATTCCGAACACAAGTCGATCAACGGCGTTCAGACTGGATTAAGGTAATTCCCTAAGTTTAACCCGCTGTAATATTATATGGAAATTACCTTATACATTGCATACCATTCTAGAGTTGTAAGCCAATCTGCAAAGCCTGCTGAGGCCTTAAAAAGTGGTACCAGAACAACTGCTAACACGGGTATACCCAAATCCACGACAAATAGTGGCACTAACAATAATAATAATAAGAATAGCGAATATTCTGCGCCACGGCCACCTTCTGAAGAATTTTTAAAATGGTGTAGAAACGCTTTGCGAGGATTGAATAATCCTAATGGTATATACGATCATTTTCTATTCCTATTGTATAAAATTCCTTTCAGGGTGATGTTTAATCAATTATTCCTTTGTCTTTTAATTAATGCATAAATACAATAACATTTTATGACAAAAGTTGATGAATTCATTCAGATGTTATTAACATTTCCGCTTGACCCACCCCCGGAAACTATTGAGATTATTCAAGATTCTATTTATGCCACCTCACCGACACTAGATGGCCGTCGATTCGCTGACGAATTTATTAAAAGAAGGAAAGCTGATGCAAATGGATTGCCAATGAGCAGCTTATTAAGCCATCATTCGGACAGTAAATTGAACAAAGATCTTACAAATGGAAGCAATAGTGCAAAGGATGATTATACAGGGAATGGTGCTGGCGCTTTTAAAGTTGTAACGACTAAAAAGAGTAAAAAAAATAAGCACTGAAATGACATTCTAGACAGATTATGGTTATAACCTAAACCTTTTTTTGAATTGACATTACTACATAATTGAGTTGGAAATCAAGATTTCTACTTCATTTGGAATATCTAAATACATGTTCATTTTCGGTCAATAGTGTAAAATTCAAACCCCCAAAAACCAATCAGATTTGTTAAATCAATGCTATAAATTATTAAAATTTTATTTTTATTTCAATTTAAGAATTTAAAGAGGTATTTGATGGCTAAGTAGGATATATTGAATAAAGTGATATGTTAGATCTAATGGTTATATCGAATACGCGCATAATAAATATATATATATCAATAATCTAATATTTCTTAGAAAATTAAAACTCATTGTAAAAATAGTTCAACATTATATATTAACTTAGTGATTGTTATTGATGGTAATAAAAACTACCCCCAAAACACCAAAAATTTTTTGATAACGAAATTCTTAAAAGTTTGTTAATATTAGGTTAGTGTTTATATTAGGGTTCCTGTTCACAAACAACATTGTAAAATTGCACAAGGAAAACATTTTGTTAGAGCACTAAAGGTGGTTTCTTATGCGGATTTTTGAGCTATGGCGATTTTTAGCAAAAAAAAAACTTTTATGAGCAGGGACAGGACGATCAATTAAATTCAATAAATATCTAAAAAAACCGCCATAACTCAAAATTTCGTATATGTAACCATCTTCTGCGCATTAGTAAAAAATATTTCTTGCAAAATTTTAGTATAAGGTAAGTATCTTTATAATTATAAACCTGACCCTAATGTACCGTTTTATGACTTTAAAAAAAAAAGTCGATCAGTGAAAATCTGACGCCACCTATGTTCAATATGTACAGTAGCCAACAAAAGTAACGCCCGATTTTTGATCAAAAAATAAAATTTTTATTTAATTTTGGTCACAAATACATCAAAATTTTTTTATATATTTATTTAATACTTTACTGAGTGACCTTCTACACTTGTGATAGCATCGATTCTTCATGTTATTGAGTCTGCGATGATATGAAGAACTGACATATCCAAATTTGACCATGCTTTCTGTAAAACTGTTTTAAGGTCAGATTTATTCCTTGAGAAGTCATCACGGTTTTGAATATTGTCCTTCATGATCTTTCAAATAATTTTTTATAGAGTTAAGATCAGAAGATCATGAGAATCAATTCATATAATCAATGTTTTTTGAATTTAGTCAATCTGACACCTTATGAATTGATGCTAAAAAATCAGATAAGGGATGTTTAACAAACAGATTGCAGCTAAAAATTGTATATGATGATCATTTAACATCTTGATATAAATATTTTTATTAATTTTTTACCTGAGATCTTTGTAATTATCAAAAAATATTATGGAACCTTTAATATTATTAATAAAACATGATCAAACTATTACTGAAATTCTTTTATTTCTAAAATTTGGTCGCAAACACTTATGTTTGTATCTTTTATCTGTATAACATTATATATAAACTTAGTGGAATTGTTTACCTATTTTTATACTTATTTTATCTGAAAAAATAATACATCTCTAATAATAAGTATTTTTATTTTATTTTAATTACATTATTCTATATGTTCTTCTATATTGTTACTTGACAAAAAAGATTTCAAGATGAGGGGTGTGGTAACTTAGTAAAGTGGTCAGGTTGTCAATCTCCAAATGACAGGTTTAGAGTTCAAATCTTATAGATAACGAATTTTGGAAAATAAGGTTTGTATTACAGTAACTGTCTCTGTCAATCGGTTGGATTAGTGTATCTGTAATCTTTATTGCATTATCACAAATAGGAGCTCAGGAAATCTATACAAAGTATAACATTATACCTACATAGAAGAATATTAATAACCAGTATTGCATAAGACTTTGGTGCAAACCCATAATAAGATCACCAGGCATAGAAAACAAAGGAACCAACGAATCAGAAACCTATTTGGAAATCTTGAGTAATAAGGTAGCATGGATTTTTGATATACTATCAGACCATCAGAAGACCCCAAAAAAGAATTACTAGGATCTCAGATAAATTGAACAACAATATGTGTAAAGGAGTATATACCAATCAGACTACTAGGTTTACCAGATAGGTCATCTAGATTGGTAGTCTGTGAAGTCTTATAGGTCTTATAGGTCTAGAAGTAGAGAGTGCAAGTTAGAAAATGAAGATATTGAGATCTCTGTGAACTTTACAAGAGTATAGCAGTTTAATAGTTAGCTCTGATTGCAAATAATGGTCTAGGCCAAAGCAGTACTAGGTTAGCTGTAAGTATGAAATACAGAAGACTCTGGTAGGCTTAGTATAAAATTAAATATAACTTAGTAACCATGATATATTTGTAGCAATGGCTGCAGTTGATAGAGTAGAAGTGCATACAGAAACTAGAGTATTTAAATAGAGAACTCATAGGTGGGTTCTAGATATAGCAACTAGTGTAGAACCCTTGAATAGACTATTTAAAATAAACAATGACTAAAGTTGTATGAATGGCTAATTGTACACTCTTTTCATGATTGTCTTTGTAGATATTGTATACAATAGTTATATGTTGACTAATTATCAATAAACTTTAGGTCACAATTACTTACCTTAATATTAAAAAAAAAAAAAAAAGATTTCAAGATAACAATATAAGAATAAAGTTCAATATTGTATAAGATTCTAGTTACAGTCTATATATTGTATTGAAGGTTTAAATTCTTTACAATTTTGAATAGTAGTACATGTTTTTTTTTTAATACTTTTTTTATTATAATAATTTTTTCTTGCTTCTTTAAAGTGAAAGGCATCTGAACTAAGATAAGTTCTTAATTTTTTTAGTTCTTCCATATTTTTATAAAAACTTTTAGACTATTGTTAAGTTATATTTAATCTTATAGACAATTTGTTTAGCATTTATTGTATTGATATGAATAAGGATTATTTCTTTCTCTTTTTCTGTTATTTGTTTGTATAACATTTTTATTAAAAAAAAATCTTTTGTATATGTTTGGTTCCTTCAATATTAAGAAACCAAAAAATAAAAAAAAATTGTCTCAAAATTTATAAGAATAAAATATGCATAGTCCTTTTATTTGCTTATATTTAATGATCTGCAAATCAGATATTACTTTTGTTGATTACTGTACAATATATAAATATACAATATAATATTAAAATTTTTATAACAATAGTACTATAAATCTAGTACTGATTTATCTGCTACAACTATGATAAATGGCACCATTATACAACTTATATTTTTAAAAGTCATTCTAATAAAATCAATAAATAACAAAAGCTGAACTTAGTTTTTATTATTTGTAATAATTATAAATTAAGTAATATCTTGGATTAATTATAATTAGATAAGTTAATACTATTAATCAAAGATATAAGAAAAACACAAATATACTATTTTAATATATTGCTTTGTTTAAAAAATGTATTTACTAATTAAAATTAGGTTTGTAGAATATTTAAAATAAAAAACAAGAAATTCAGTTATTTTTATTTATATAAATCATTATATTCTTCTATATAAATAAAATGTTTTTTGCATCTAATTTTTTTTATTCTCAATAAAAGTTTATATTTATGACTTCTTTAAAACTACTAGTTGGTTTAATTTTTTTTTTTTTTTTCAATATTAAGGTGACCTCTTTGGTCCGAGCTTTTTATTAATACTTATAGCAGGTATATGTTTTATATAGATGTATCTATAATGAACTATTAGACAAGTGTACA